AGTGATAGGACAAGGGGTAATGGCTCTAAGCTGAAGGAGGGTAGGTTAAGATTAGATACAATGAAAAAATTCTTTACTATGAGGGTGATGAGACACTGAAACAGGTTGCCTGGAGAGGTTGTGGATGCCCCATCCCTGGAAGTGTTCAAGGCCAGGTTGGATGGGGCTTTGGGCAACGTGGTCTAGTGGAGGGTATCCCTGCCCGCAGCAGGGGTGTTGGAACTAGGTGATGTTTGAGGTCCCTTCCAACCCAAACTGTTCTATGATGTATATACGTGCAAACATATGGTAAGATTCAACTTCTGAGAGAAATCCCACTGTGTTGGTAGTGGGGGAACGTATGGAAGTTAGATGATGTCATTTAGGTAGCTATATACTTGGGTATTTCAGATAAAGAATGTAAGTATTCGATGAAATTGTGAATAGAAATGCCAGGGAATCTGGACTAAAATCAGAGCCTTGAATGGTCCCTTAGAAAGCTAACTGAATGCTGAGTGTGACAAAATAGACTTAACTGAAAAGACCTAGGAATCATGATGAAGTTCAGATGGGAATTTGAATACAGAATGGAATAGAGTGAGTACTAAGTTTTGAACACTTGCTTATGAAGGGGACCGGATGGATGGTTCAGATGATACTGGGAAGCAGTATTACAGTCACTCAGATGAACTGACTATGCATGGAAGGATAAGTAGAGTTAAAAGCAGGTTTTTAAATGTGAGAGGATGAAAGCTAGTAAAACTTCTGTTACAAACAGCAGACAGAAAAATGAAGAAGAGAAAATCATCTATTTGCATTTGGAAAGGTCTGAAAGAGTTAAAAGGTGAATAAGGAACAATGAAGACACAAAAATGATTAAGGGAATAGATTATTAGATCAGCAGTACGTAGAGATGAGCTATGGACCTGAGTGTGAAATGAATTCAAGTTGTCTTTCCTGTCAGAAGCAACACTTCATTACTGTATGGGAATAGGTTAAAGATTAATGCACAGACTGGAGTAAGAACTCAAAAAATTAAGCATTGGCTTGGATAACCATCAGTGGAGTCCTTGTCCCTAGAAAATGAGTGAGAAAGCATGACTCTGTAAAAGTGACCAACAAATGGTTCCAGTACTGATTCTATGATTGAAATGTAAGTCTCTTATCCTTGAATCATCATATTTGGAGAAGTTTGTAGGATTTATTTCAATGGGCAGACTCTGTGTGGGTACCTTGGGTACTAGTTTTCTATGATTGACAATGTCACTACAACTTAAAGAGCTTGAAATTTAAAAAATGAAGAGAGAAGATGGAGATTCAGAGAACTTTAATACTGTTCCCCTCTACATAAAAGGAGCATGATCAGATTAGTCAGAAATACAACAAAGAAGAAAGGATCACAAGAGGAGGAGAGGTAGCAAAGACAAGGTTTCGATAACTTTTAAGGAAAATATGGTTCAAGTCCAAGGAGGAATCTTTCTGTGAGATTTCCCCCTTCATTCCTCAAGTATGGCTGTCAATCCGTAAATTAGGAAATACTGTGCACCTGTGAGGAACCTCAACAAAGCCTGGAAAGATGTGTGGGATGTAAAACTGGGCATGAAGGATAGAAATTATAGTGGGAAAGGGATGATGACTGGAAGACAAGGATTGAAGTTTGCATATGTCAGTGAGATAAGATAGGGCTTTACGTTAATGATGAGATGAACAGTAACAGTTGCAAGGAATAGCATGGCTGAACAGAGTTGGTTAGGATGAAAATAATATTATAGAGTATGCAGAGATAAAAGCTTCTATGCAATCAGTTCTGGGATTCTGTCCATAGTCCCCAAGAATTGATTTGAATGGTGATTGCAGTTCCGTAATAGTGTTAATATCTCTGGTAATAACTGGAAAGCTTCATCATGGAAGACATTAATTTTTAAGTCACAAACTAGGTTACATGTTCGTTACAAAAAGAATGTAACTGCAGTTTTTAGTTATTGCTAGAAGTGGTTAATATATTTAATCAGTGAGTGATCATGGTGCCATTCATCATGATATTTGATATATCTTCAAAGATAACATCTATTGCATTTATTTTAAGTAGTGAGCAGGTTACACAAGAGTGAAAATTTGGAACAAGTCATTCAATCCAGGTAAAACAGAAGGTTAAATAGAAAAAGCCACAAAGGATTTATTTCAGAAGTACCATTTTGAAATTCTGGGAGGTAGTTAATGAATTAGTAGGACCAATAGTATTAATCATTGCTTATTACTGAAATTTTGAGTGTAGTAATGAAACTTACTGTTCATGTACAGTTGTGTGGGACCATTCATACAGAGGAAAAATATTGTACAAGAAGTGGATGGCGTCAGCAGCTGGTCTAATGGAAACAGAATTTAATAGTTTAGAAAGAAAACTTAAAGGTCAGCTGTTTGAAGCAACAGAGAAAGAGAGAATGGACAAATTAGAAGTAGGGGATTATGATCGCAAATTTGATACTCGTGAAGGAGTCAGATGTGATTGTGGTAGGTTATTTTCAAAAGAGCTAAGTAAATATTTCAGACTTTTTTTAAATAAAACAAATCGATGAAAACTTTTCCTGAAGTGTAGTCTGTGGTTTTCTTTTTATTCAAGAAAAACAAATTCAAATTAGAACAAGTATAGAGTTGGCTTAACTGGAGTGATTAGATAAGGGTCAGTTAATTTCATGAGGAGAATGGGAGCTTGGTTTGTTTAGTTCAGCACAGTTACACTTGACAAGGGTTCTGTATCCGTTGAAGGAAAGAAAACTTTTTAAGACACAGAGATGTTAAACAAGATCAGATGAGCATAGACTTCCAAGAATAAATATTAAGTGGGAGTTGGAAGGTTTCTGGCTAGCACAGGAAATGAGTATCTGGAATAGCCTTTTAAGATAGATGATGCTTTTTAAAAGAAAGCTTGATGTGTTTATAAGAGAAGTGATGCTGTACATGCCTGCAATATCAAAGGATTTGGCTCAATGATTATGAAAGTTATTTTCTATGATTCTGTTATTTTTCTGTCTTATGCTGTATGTTACCGTGTTCCCTTTGTTTACTATTCAAATATATTGTTTAATGCTTAACTTGCTTACTCTATATTAAAGAAGCAAGATTTATTTTTTAATTTATTACCATATTCTTTAATTTTTTTTCTCATTTATAAGTACTAACCTGTTTTCTCACTTTATAAATAAAACCAGTTTTTTTCCGGCTTTATTTTTCTTCCAAGACCAATTTAGTTTCTCTGCTTGGAATAAACTAGTTCAAACAAAGGAAATAGTATGTTTTCTCCTGGAAGAAGATCTACTGCCATCAAAATTTACTTAATGTTTCAGCAAGATCAGTTTCTCAGTGGTCAGCCAGTTCCTTTTGGTCATTTGGTGATTTGATGTTCTCTAAAATTTTGACAACAAATTGGTATTAACTTCAGTGATTCACTTCCTGGTGTGTTTTTTTTTTTTTAATAGTTGGCATGATTGACAGCAAATTATTAAATGCCCAGATCATAGCAGCTTCTTTCTCTCTAGCAGTGAAGTATCTACTTTGATATTTTGTTTGAAAATATAGGCATGAAAATGAGGCTAAGTGACTGTTTGTTGGCTGATTGACAGCACTTCAGCTTTGCCATCAGTTACATTTTATTCCTAATCCTCCATATTTTGGACCAAAAAAAATTTGGAAAATTTCTTTTCCTGAGGTGTTTTTTTAGAGCTTGTGTAATTGGTTTCTTTTTGGGAGTTTTGGAATTGGTATCTGGAAGCTGCTTTTTATGAGGGTTTAGTTTGACCTGCAGTGACTTCAAGAGCATTTCTACTACAGGTTGTTCAGCCATTTCACTACATTGGTTCCATAGTGGTCATGGCTGTGTTTTGGAACTGTCCCAAGAGTTTTTGTTAACTGTTAACAGGTAGTAATGTAAATACTTCAGGAAAATATTAATGATTCTCCAGTAAAGCATTAGTTGAAATTTGCCAGTGTGTAGGAAGATTTGAAGATAAAGGTGATTTGCTGCCATTTAAATTCCGTAATTTTGCCTGGTCTTCTGCGATCACAGGTTCTTTGTGGAGAAGAGCAATGTGCTTATACAATATTCTTCCTATTTATTTTAATAAGTTATATCTTTTCATATAATAATACGCATTTCAGGAGGCTGATGGATAGTACAGAATCATGAAATGGTTTGGGTTGGAAGGGACCTCAAAGTTCCAACCCCCTAATTCCAGCCCCCCTGCCATGGGCAGGAACACCCTCCACAGGACCACCAGGGACACCCTCCACTAGACCAGGTTGCCCAAAGCCCCACCCACCCTGGCCTTGAACACTTCCGGAGATGGGGCATCGACAGCCTCTCTGGGCAACCTGTTCCAGTGCCTCACCACTCTAACAGTAAAGAATTTCTTCCCAATACCTAATCTAAATCTACCTTCTTTCAGTTTAAAACCGTTCCCCCTTGTCTACTTGCTGCAGCCCCCTTTATATGTAGAAAGGCTGCAAATAAGATCTCCCCAGTCCTCTTCTCCAAGCTGCACAACCCCAATTCTCATTCAGAGGTGTTCCAGCCCTCCTCTGGACCCACTCCAACAGGTCCATGTCTTTCCTGTACTGGGGACCCCAGAGCTGAACGCAATACTCCAGGTGGGGTCTCACCAGCAGAATCAACTCCCTCGACCTGCTGGTCACACCTCTTTTGATGCAGCCCAGGACACGGTTGGCTTTCTGGGCTGTGAGCGCACGTTGCCAGCTCGTGTCCAATTCTTCACCCACTGGTATCCCCAAGTCCTTCTCCACAAGATTGGTCTCAATCCTGTCATCCCCCAGCCTGTATTGATACTGGAGATTGCCCAAACACACGTGCAGGAGTCTGGCTTTCCACCCTTGCAGAATCTCTTGGATTATAACAACATAAGCAAACCATGTTCTACCTAAGTAAATAAAAATCTGTGCTGACAAATCCAGTTATTGATTTTTTTGGGGTTTTTTTTTTTTGTCTGAAGTTTCTCTTTAATCTCCTGTTTCTATAGGAAACATTTGTCGCTCTCCAATAGCTGAAGCAGTTTTTAGAAAACTTGTAACTGATGAAAAGGTTGAAAATAAGGTAAGCTGTTTATTTGTGTTCCTGCCTAAGAAATAACTGTCTCGTAGCCAGCTAGTATAAAGGAGACATAAAAATATAAATTTGTCTTTCTGTAGTGGAGGATAGACAGTGCAGCGACATCTACCTATGAAATAGGAAGCCCTCCTGACTATCGAGGACAGACTTGCATGAAGAAGCATGGCATTACCATGAATCATATTGCCAGGCAGGTACTGTACTTTAATTTTCTTTAAATATGTGTGTGTATTTGTTTTGTTGTTACAGTGGATGACAGACAGTGCTGCTGTTTCAGACTGGAACGTGGGGCGCTCCCCAGATGCAAGGGCTTTAAGCTGTCTAAGAAATCATGGCATTGAGACAGCACATAAAGCACGGCAGGTAGAAGAGAGTATATTTTCTTTCTTATTCGTACCCATGCTTTGCTTAGCCATAACCATTACAAGCACAGAAGTCATTTGACCGTTCATGGTTAAGCATTAAGTAATAAATACTATGTGCAATTTGTCCAAGTGGCCTAGCTCTTCCAGCTGAGGTTAGTGAGTTTCTTGTTGTTAAGCTTCATTGGAAGTATAACTAGGAAATGAAGCCATTTCTGCATTATAGAAAAATCCTACCTCCAAATGTTTAGTATTTTGGGCATTTTTCTGAAATATTTTTTTAATACTTTTTAAAAATTGGCTAACTCTAGCAATCTGTGATGCTTCTTTCAGCAAGAATTTTTTTTTTATTGTTTAGCAGGTACAATACCTGTTCACCCATCACAAAAAGCTTCTGTTATTGCATGAAGGTCTTTTCAAAAAAAATTAGAGTGCTAAATTAGAATGAGGGCACTCAAACCCAAGATTAGTAGCACAGTTGGTGGCAAATTCAGAGGAAAATGTATCCTTGAAGCATTCTTAAGTCAGAGACAGGTTTGTCACTTAGTAAAGTCATCTAAGTTTTACCGAAACTCATCTCTGTTGTCATTAACAAAAGAATGTGTATTTCCATGCTGCATTCCAGCGAGATTGGAAATAAATGTGTCTGCATCTATTTAAATCATTCAGACACTCAAATAAATGCACATAACTTACTTCAGTTAACTATTCTCTGGATATGAGATACTCCTTTAGGGCTTGACCTTTACGTAGCTTGAGTTTATGCCACTAGTTCTTGTACTGACAAAGAGATCAAGTAGTCTTACTATCTTCCATTTCTGTTCCCTTCAGAATTTTACTAGACCTTACTGAGGTCATATTTACCTTCTTTACTTTCAAAGACTACATGTTTAGTTTTTTAACTTTTTAAAATAAATTCCCTCAATTAGTCAGTTGCCCTCTGCTGACCTCTCCTGATGCTAATCTCAGTTACGTAAGACGACAAACAGGACTGAGCACAACATTGTTTCAGATTTTCAAATGTTTTACTATCAGAATACTAGAAAAAGTCTGTTGTGATCTTTTCCTTTTACAAGTTCTGGATTTACTATTTATCAGTGCTTACAAACAGCATTATTTATCATTATACAAGCTAAATAGTACTGAAACTAATCAGTCAGTATTTCAGTCACAGTAGTGTAACGTGTTTGTATTCTTAAAAGATAAACCTTGGGAACTCAGGAACTGTTCTTGTGTATTACTAGAGTGGTTTATGAGCAGTTAAACTAAAGCAAGGCATCCAAACCCAGTTGATCCTCTGCCTTGAACCAAATCTATATATCCTCCTTTGTCAGAGAGGGAAAGAAAACTTTAATGAAGACATTTGCTTATGTATTCTGGCAAATGAAGTGATTTTTAAAGCAGAAGAGGGTAAGGCGTTACATATACGGGAGAGAAAATTACAAGAATGAGACAATAAAATGAAAGACTAATAATGAAAATTTGTCATCCCAGTACAAGCAGTTTCCTTTATTAAGAAAAAATTTCAAATCCCTAAACTACAGGTAACTCTTAATTTTGTATCGATGTTAACTGTGTAACCCCAGCATTAATTTTTTTTTTTTTTTCCAAACTTCTGTCAAATGGTCTCTGCTAACTTTCTAACCTGAGTGGACCTGGTACGGTCTCATAGTACTTCTGGAAAGAGAGGGACTTTACAGTGTAGAATAGGACTTTTCAGAGTGGTCAGGTTAGTACAAGCGGAAGTGTATTTGTTTCCCTATTAGACACAAACAAGGATAGAATTTTGTGTGTGACTTGTTTCAGAACAGATTAAGAAAGATTTAATACTGAAGCTGCAGAAATAGAGAGGAGGGATTTGTCTTCTGTTGCCTTCGGAATACTGTCATAAGATGACTACATCATGCAATTATCCTCTTCACTCCTGTAGAAAACTGTTACCTACCTAGTGAAAGGCACTTTCTTTCATGTAATTTTGTGCATAATTATGATAATCATGGATTGTATCTTTTTTTTTATTCAAAACTGACATAAATGCTACCAGAATGATTTATGTAAGAGAGACTGTTAGATTGGTTACATCCTACCATCATATACAGTGATCATTTCAGTGAATTTTAAGTGAAAAGTGAAGTATAAAAATAAATGTATATATTTATGTATAAAATACAGAGTTTGTTAACATTTTAGTTGAGGGTAGATTGCTATATGTTTACGCACCCATTGAAATTCTCTAAGCTCTTAGTCTTCATGCACAAAACAGGTATTAATCAGTTTTGCTTTTATTCATGCTGAGGCCAAAATTGATTTCTGTATGACTCATACCGTGCATTTGCCTTAAATATGAAATTGAGATTAGAGGAAGGTTGTATTAACCACTCTTTCACAGCTGGATAAATTTGAGGACTACTGCCTCTCTTTGGTTTTTAGACAGAGAAGAGGAGATTTCCCTTCTGTAAACAAATAAACTGGAATTACAATGTGTTTCTCCATTGATGGTCTTTAATAATGGTTGTATGCATTTTTTTAATGTAAAGTTGTCTGTGCAGTTCCATCCATAGTTGACTACTTGAGCTCTCTGCTACTCAAAATGTACATAAATTCTTATGTCCTCAATTTCTTCCTCCAAAATTCTAGTTTGCATAGTTTTGAGGAATGTCTTCAGTTCACTGGAGTTTGCTTAGTTAAGCTTTTTGTATCTGATATTACTGTAGGGCTTAAGAGCACAAGTCAGCCAGTAATCTTGTTTTTAGGGCTGCATTTGCAACTGTGTTAGTGCTGGTTCATGGGGAACTATGAACTGTCAAGTTGTGAAGTATACAGAGAATGGGAAGTGTGGCAGGTGTGTTTCTCCTTTTCACTCTTTTTTATTTTATTCTTACATATGTCTGTACCACAAAGAAATCTGTGCTCGCGTATTTTTGTAGGGGCCAGTGTTTAGCTGTGTAGAGCAATTGGAAGCAGCTTGTAGAGGTACTGCTTAGTGTTGCCAGGAAAAGGGAGCTATTTCCATTGCAAAAATATTTTCGTAGGTCAAAGGCACAGCATGAATACAGCAAATATTTTTACAGTGAAAATAAACAAGTCTACATTAGTTTTCGCCATTAACCCTTTATTTTCAAATGCGCCCCCCCCCATTCTCCTGTGTGGAATGTTTCATTTATGGCTTTAGTTTGGTGATAATTTCCGTAGGTCTTTCCTTACTCCCTGTTATGGGGGCTTAATCGGTATGTATTTGCTGTTTGCACAGAAATAGTTGGGGGGCGTTTCCCATCTAAACCTTTTTTTAAAGTATGTAAATAATTTTTACAAGTTAAAACTCTGACTTACAGGATAATGTGTTTTGCCTTTTTATCTGTTCACTTGTTTACTCACTTCTCTAGTCCATCCTTCCCAGAGACACCTGCCAGAAAAACCTGTACTGAACAAATTTTCCAAGTTTCTTGTTTATGATACTATATGTAGGACTATGACTGAAATGCAGTCTTAATGAGAACCCATTATAGATTTTATTCCAGTCATCCTTATTATGGACACTTGGTTCAGATATCTTATACTAGCATATTGTGCAGTGTGGGCACAGTGTGGGACGATTTTACCCTAAGCTAAGGCTTAAATGTAAACTAAAATACAATTATAATGGTAAAAATCTGCAGCCACCCTATTCCAATACAGATAAACTGCTAACTTAAGTACTACTGTTATCTGCAACGTTTGCCTGCCTGACTCTGAACTCAGATCTTGGAACTTAGTTAAATATTCAAGTTTTGGAGTCAGTAAACTACAGGAAAGAAAAAGAACAGATGGTATGAAGGTAGGAAGATGTAGAATAGATTGCAGATTTTTTCACATTATACTGTAAATTTTGTCAACTTATATGGCCTAAAATACTGTGAATGCATTTGTTTTTAAGAGATTGTAACTCATACCATCATATTTCAGTTTGAGTTTCACTTGGTATCTTTTTCTGTATAGTGACAGATTTCTAGATTGGAAGGAAGTATTGCAACTGATTCCAGGTTACCTACATTTTTGTTTTCCTATCAGGAAAGTAATTTGTTTATATTTTTATTGCATGGTTTTTATGACTGGAAACCTGCTTTAGTTTTAGTAATTGGAAAGCATTAGAAATGTCACTTGTAGTGATGTTCTAAGTTGATGCATGAGATGTTTTAAAAAAAAAATTGGTAAAATAAGTAACTTGGGATTTTTGTGGAAAATTTGCAGAAATGGATAGCTAATCGTGGCAGACTATATTGAAAATGCCTTAACTTTTTATTGTAAAAGTTGAAGGTACACAGTTTTATTCTTTCCACCTGTGTCTTTTAATAAATCAGAACTACAAAATTTGAAAATACTTTTTTTCCCCTTTTTATAAATCAAATGCAGTTTCTAGGCTAAAGCACATATTTTTAATTCTAGGTTACTAAAGATGATTTCCAGACCTTTGATTATATACTTTGTATGGATGAGAGCAATCTAAGGTAATGTATGAAGAAATGGAACAAATTCATATGGATTACTTGTAGTGATGTCTCATAAGTCACTTTGAAAACAGATGTCATGTTTTACTGCTTAGCTTGTCTTGGGCTTTTTTCATTTTTGGGTTTTTTTAATAAGTATGTATGAATGATATCCTAATAGATGGATTCTTCACTTCTAAGAAGTTTTAATGAGCTAGAATTCAGTGGTTTATTTGTGTGATACATGCCACTCAAGGATTAAAGACATGGAAATTCAGTATACTTTGTGCTATAGATGTGCAGCTGATGCCTGTATAGTTAAGCATGAGGACGTACTGTCTTGATCAGAGTGATCTGTTTTTGTAATTGCATAGAATCTAAAAGACACTGTGGAAACTTGGAAGGGATTAAATATGGTGAGGGTCTTTTTTTTTTCTTTTTTAGTAGAAATTGAGCTCTGAAATAAGGTTGTTAGCTGGGGGAAATGTTGTTTGTTACTGTTAGCCATGTTCTGTTTATTTAAGTGCATCTTTGAGACAATTTATGTTTTAGAAAGATTTGGTGAAGTAGCTGCCTAGTGTGGAAAGTTGGATATTATTAGCAAAATTTCTACTTAATTACATACATATTGATGATTTCGGTTAAGGGGCTGAGCTTTAATAACTACAAGTGTCAAAGTGCTTGTAAGGACTATTACTTGTCTGGTTTTTTTTTTAAATAACTTTACAAAAAAAACCCAAAACCAAAGCACCACAACCAACAACAAAACAAAACCCAAATAAACCCATACTAGTGGCATGTAAAGACTTTTAGAAGCAGCACCACTTAACTGAGTTAAGTATAATTTTGTTGAATTTTCTAGAATGTGTTGAATGACCTCTCTTACACAGCCTGCATGAGTGAAGGGTATATAACACTTGGCTTGATTGCAGCATGTGAGGCAAAGACGTGACTAGGCTTACTTCTATTTTCACTTGAATTCGTAAATGGAAACTTGCTTCTGTATTAACAATTTATGTATGAGCCGTAGAGCAGAAGAAAATTCACAACTATAATAGGGATATTGCTACTGCTACACTTAAGTTTCACCTTAAACTTGCACCCAGTTCAACCATTTTTCCCTGGGAACGCCTATTCGTAGCACTAGGAAGGCAAGTTGATTTCAGATGTTGATGGAGGGCCTGTTGTATCAGAAAAGGAAGATTTGTGACATTCCTTTTCCTTAGTACCAGAGCTACCTGGCCCTCTCCTGTTCATTAAGTGGTATGCCAAAAGCCTTGAAGGAAATGGTTGGACTTTTTCTTTTTAATAATAAAAGGCTAGAGAATTTATTGAAAATCTGTAAATTCAAGCAATAACTTCTTTCTTGATAGAGGAGTCCTGATTTTTCGTCAAGAAAAAACAGTATTGTGGTCTCACTGCTATTTCTAAACTATCTGAAAATAATTTCTAAATCAGAATTAATAATTAGAATTTAATTTCTTAAAACTGATTATGCTTATGACTATAAGTATTTTCAGGGGTTTTTGCCTTTTTTAATGCTGGGTAAGCAAAATAATTATTTGGTATGGAAATGTGTACTATTAAAAGAATTTACTATGTTTTGGCTGTTCAGCATTGTGAAAATTACAGTACTGAGCTGCTTTTACTCTGAAGATGAGAGGTACATTTTAAGTGCATTTGGGATCATGGATGGCCATTTGTTAGTAGATGGGGAAAATACCCTCCCCAAACCAGTATATTTTATCAATGGGAGGCAATGAAGAGGAAGGAGGATGTGATAACTGATGAAATGTATTATGTCAAAGAGAAGACAGATCTTTCTCACCGATTTACCATTTTTTGTTAACTGAATGTAGTAGGACATCACATGAGTTAGAGGAAGTATTGAGAGACCTTGCAGCATACCAATTTAATGCATTGGTTTTGAACAGATGAGAGAAGCTTACTCATACTTCTGGAGAAATACCTAGATAATTTTCATTATTTTTGTTCAATACAAGCTAAAGGTGGATATTGAAAGTACTAATGATTGATTTGAGGAAAAAGTTGAGAAATCTACTGTTCTAAAGTTCTGTTAAGCTATAGGTCAAGTGCCTGACTGATGTTTATGCTCTGAATTAAGTTTATGTATATGTCCTCCATTCTCAGTTAAAAAAACAACTCCACACAACATGACACAAATGAAAACAAGCAGCAGCGCAGAGAGTCCACAGAATTGACTGAGTCCAGATGCATATTATTGTCCTGTGTTCTCTAGAAGCGGTCGTGAGCATGTCATGCTGATGCCAAAAAGTTCTGAAGAAAAATTCATGGGAAAATTTTATTTTCTCTTTTACAGAGATCTGAAAAGGAAAAGCAACCAAGTTAAAGACTGCAAGGCCAAAATTGAACTACTTGGAACTTATGATCCACAGAAACAACTTATTATTGAAGATCCGTACTATGTATGTGTAAGAAATTCTTTGGGTGGCTTGATTAAAAATTGTGTATGTGTAGTATATGATCTTTCCAGATGTCACCGTTGACATGTGATGTATAATCTGATGTTATACAGAGTCAAGTGTAAACATATGTTTTTAAATGACTTATCCCAGTAATTTATATTGTTTTGTTAGGAAGGGAAAACATGTCTTTATGCTTATAACAGTTACTTGAATTTAAATAATGCAATGCACCTATATTTTCAATATTGAGTGAAGCTCTGGTTGGTCAGCCTCCTTGCAAAGAGGATGTAATCGGGAAAGATAGAGACAAAGACATGGACAGAGAGGGACAAAGAAGTTGAATAATACCAGCCAAGAGCAAGCAATTAGGTTAAGGTTCTTCGGTTTAGGAAAGAAGTGGATGAAGATGCAGCAGGGTTCTATAAAATCTTGATATCATGGGAAAAGATGAATAAGGAATTGCTATTCATTACCCAAGAAGTAGAGAATATCAAGTGGCATTAGTGGGAAGCAGGTTCAAAAGAGAGTTGTTTTTTTTTTCCCCCTACACAGTGCTTCCTTAAACTGTGAAACTCAATATACCAGGTTACTGTGAATGTTAAAGAAAGAAAAAAAAAAAAAAGACTTATAAAGACTCAAAAAGTGAATGGAAGAAATCTGTGAAGGAAAGTTCATCCAGGACTCTTGAGTGCAACGCCACAGGTTTGGCTGTGGAAATTATTGAGCTGCAGGAAGTTCAAATTAGGGAGAAATATGCAAAAACTATCACCAAGTATTTATACTGTTCTTTTTCTTCCCTAATGTCAGTTATTTGCCATTACTGACAGCGGGAAACTAGTTTGCAAAAATGTTTTGTCTGAGCCAGTATTGCTATTCTTACGTTCTTTTTCCTCTTTTTTTTTTCTAGGGGAGTGAAAAGGACTTTGAAACTGTTTACGAGCAGTGTCTTAGATGCTGTAAAGCATTTTTGGAGAAGTCTCATTAATGCTTCATCATTTTATTTCTAAAAGAAAATAATTAGCGTCCCCTGAAATATGTAAGGTTTACTTGATTGATGTATTTAAATTGTAAAATTATGCCTCAGTAGGTTCAAAACTTTTTCAGTTTAATTTTATATTTCAGCTTTTGTGTCATCTGATTAACAAATACAGGAAAGTTGTAACTGGATTAGATGATCAACCATTTTGTCATACATCGATGTAATAATAAAGTATATGCCATTCAGAATAAATGTATCTGTAAACTCTTCCAGTGCTTTCTTGCAAGCACTGCAAAAGTAACGTCTTGCTTCTTTGTGTGCTGTACTAACTAAACGGAGGTCTGCTCATTGTGCCCTTAGTGAGCTAATTTAAATCAACTTTCAATGGAAGTCTGTGAGATAATACTTCACGTGTGCTAACTAAGGCGTGTCATCTTTGTATTGTTAGACAGCCGTTGGACTGAAGGTGTTTCATATTGAGCCTGCTGGACTCAAAGAACTGCTTGCGGCCAGACAGACATTGCTCTTAGCACTATTTCAAAGCTTAAGCAAGCAAAACCTCTGTGTCTGTCATCACGATCCTGTGAAAATGGGTTTTTATATCAGTTTAAATGCTCAGTTATTAAAAGAAGAAATATTTTTTGTTCTAATAGCTTTTTATACTACTTAAGAATAAGTTCAGAAATAGTGATTTATGTTAATAGGACTTCTCTGGCTAGTCTTCCTTTGGGCTTGTCACTTTCTAGCACACTGATGCAAGTACATGTAACAGCATTTATTTTGAAGACAAAACTGTTCAGCTTAAAAGCTTAAATGTGAAATGTACATTTTGTATCTCACAGTAGTGAAATACTCAAATCCATGCAATATAACCAATGAGAAATTTGCTATAATCTGTTCCTGTGTTGGTGTTGGACAATATTTTCAGATTTACTCAGGAGAATGAATAGCTTGTCAAAAGTGTTCTCTGAGAGTATGGTTCAACTTGAAGACAGTCCATCTGTAATGTAATAGAAAGTTAACAGAAGGCCAGTAAATACAAAGTTCTGCTCTTGAACAAAAATTGAATGGTTTTGTAAAGATCCATGCCTTTTTGTCTGAACATCACCTTTCATTTCTGCCTTAGAAACATAAATGTACTGAGATCAGTAATGTGACTGATACCAACACTGGTATGGACTAGCAGTACCACACTATCTGTAAAACTGGATCTGTAAAACTTGCTTCCTTATTTATTTAGTATTGGTTTTGTGGTTTTATGCACTAACCTCGGAAGTGGAAGTATTAAGGTATGATCTAATGTTAATCTCTGCCATAATGAGCATTTAAAATATTCCAGTGAAAGTAAAATAACTCAGAAGACTGAGAACGTGATGGTTTGTGCTTTCCATTCATGGCTAGGAATTGAACCTGTAGTTTCCTGCGTATTAAAGTTAAGATTTAAAAGCCTTAAATCTTTGTCTTTGAGCTGCTGGGGTAACAGAAGATAAAAGGGGGGTGGTGTTTATCTTCACTAGACTTAGGAATCTTCCTGTAAAGTGATACTAAGTCAAAACTATTTGTATTAAATTCGGTTCAGATTTTAAAAGTTTCAGCCTCGAGGTATATTTTCAACAAGTAATCTATTGGCTAAATAATTCACTAGCTCTACTGGGAGGAAAAAGCTGATTGATTGATTTTATCCTTAGTGGCTTTCTTTTAGAGGAGGGGAAGGAAAGCACCATGATATTTTAAAAGAATTTGTAGACTACAAGAATACAGAACAGGAATTGCCTTCAGGAAGGACAATTGCACAGTACCGTTATTTGGGTTCCAAGAGAAGTGGTGAGCATAGGATTAATACACAAATTGTGTATCATACAGATGACTAAGCTCTTACAGGTTTAAAATACCACTCATGAAAAATGTAATGTTGAATGAAAAAATACAGAACTGACTCCTCCTTCCCCCTCTCCCCCACCACGGCTTGTTTTAGTTTGGGTAGAAAGGTTATACCGAAGACTAAATAAAAAAAAAAAAAATCTGCTATAGTATAATTTTATCTTCTGTCAAAGCATGCTAACTTCTGCTAAATCTAGTGAAAACTTCCATGGGATTAACTTACTGTACTGGGTTTGCGTGGCAAGGTTTTGGTAGCGGGGGGGCTACAGGGGTGGCTTCTGTGAGAAGCTGCTAGAAGCTTCCCCCATGTCCAATAGAGCCAATGCCAGCTGGCTCCAAGATGGACCTGCCGCTGGCCAAGGCTGAGCCCATCAGCAATGGTGGTGGCACCTCAGGAATAATGTAGTTAAGAAGGGGGGAAAAAAACAAGAGAAATTGCAGCCAGAGAGAGGAGTGAGAATGTGTGAGAGGAACAACTCTGCAGCCAGCCAGGTCAGTGCATAAGGAGGGAGAGTAGGTGCTCCAAGTTGAGTCTCTTTTGCCCGTGACTGTAACTGGTGAGTGATCTCTCCCTCTTATCTCGACCCACGAGCCTTTCGTTATATTTTCTCTCCCCTGTGCAGCTGAGGAGGGCAGTGACAGAGTGGCTTTGGTGGGCACCTGGCCTCCAGCCAGGATTTTATATTCATTTATTAAGTCATTAAATTACTATTTTCTTTTTACAAGGAAATTTTCTAGAAAGTTTTTATTTAACCAGTTTCCAGGTGCCCTACTACCAAAAGATATATACTAATTTAAACTCCCATATTAAGTACTATGTTGTGGTCTGATTTCAGTCGATGGAACCACAGAGAAGCACAGAGTTCCACTCTCATGTTTAGGGCAGGTGAGGAGCTAAGTGAGCCCTGTAGCAGTAATTCCTTTAACTACCAGGTTTTTGGTATGCATGTACTACTTCCATTGAGAAATGAAAGTTTAGCAGTTAGTGATCACTTGAAAGCACATACAAAATACGTACTTCTCCCTTACTAAATATAGCCACTTTCTAGGATGGGATTTTGTACTTCTGCCAATTTTTTTCTTTTTTCTTCTGAAGAGCTAGGTACTGAAGGCTCTTAAGTATGAATTTCAAGAATCCCAGCTCCTAGCTATTTCTCTGGGTGGGGAGGGTGTGTTCAGTTCTGTTTTTATATTTTGTGGTTAGAATTGAGGATGAAGTGGTAGCTAAATGCCAGTATTAAGATAAAAGTACCTGAGGTTCATCTACAGACCACACATAAAAATTTTCTTCCTGTTTGAGCCATTTTATTATGACAATTGGATTTAATATTTAAGGAAGAAAGGGAAATGTGTATCAAGGCTTCTTGAGTAAGCGTTCACTGACTCAGAAGTTTTATGATACTAAAATGATTTATTGAATGTTTACTGGTTGTATTGCCTTGCAGTATCATGAATAGACTGCAGATTTTTTTGGAAATAAAACCCCAAACCACCATTTGTCATTAAAAAAAAAACAAACAAAGAAATTGAATTTATAACCCTGTAGAGACTTGGAGCAGCCTTGTGCTCTGGCCATTTTGTGGGACTGGAACACACAGATCTGTCTGTCCTCCCAAATCCATAGGGAGTGTCCAAATCCCTGGACTTGGAGGTGGATGCACTTTTCTTCCTTAGCCTACCAAACTCTTACTGGAAAGAGTTTTGAGTGTGGTTAAGTGATAGTAGCTACCAGAAGATAGCTTGCTTATCAAATTCTGGATTCAGTGAACAGAAAGCAAACAGAGGACAACTTCATACCAAACACTTTATTACTTATGCTTGTTATTTACAGTATTTACATATTGCACGTTCGCTGGAATGTTTTATACATTTATTATATAAAGTAAATTAATGGCAGCTTGTGTTTGTGTACAAAATCCATGCTCCACTGTTCCAAAAAATACATCTACTTGGAATTACGTTCCTGTTTGTCATGCAATTTGTACTCCTAGGGTACAATGTGACCCCAATGCAAGTCTGTTTTAACCAAACTTTTAAAAAATTGCATAAGCATGAAGGATATCAAGTGACCACAACTACTGTGGAGCAGATCTTTAGTAGTTCTAGATATACAAACAAACATTCCTTAAAATTGTAGAATTAAGCAATAGAACATCAATTTCCTTGGTGAAATATTTGTGTTTATGTAATTTTTGGCAGCATTACACATCAGTTGTAAAGTGTGTTTTGAAGTATGGAGCATTAAGTACTAGTGGCAGTTATGCTACTGTAAAGAATGTCAATCTGCAAACTGTTGACGACATACAAAATGCATGTTAAAAGAATTATGGGAAGTAGTCTGTCAATCTGCAAAAATAAATCTCTTGTTCACAATGGAATATGTTATAAAGGTAATAAGTTCTATTTCCCTGTTGGATTCCAAGGCACTTCTCTTGGTTCTTGGTGTTTCTTTTCATGGTACTAACATCTGGTGGATTAAAAGAAAGAAGAAAATTGTGTTTCATCATTTTTATATTCACATACATGTGTTTAAGAATGTATTTATCATATTGAAAATAATAAATAAAACTGGACAATTCAGTAATAACTTTGCAAAAATCCAGTTGTGCATTTCTGATTTAGATCAGTTTAGTTCGTATCAGCCTGACTCTTAAATTACTATTTGTTTGTTAATCAAGGCTGAAATTTTAGAAATTGTCCCTTTTTGTGATGGTTCATTTTAGGTAGCCAGATTTGGAAAATACAGTTCCACCTATTCAAAATGTGCTTATAGATAGTTAGCCTGTTCCCAGGAGTGCAGCTGTGAAGTCAAAAAGTGAATAAACCTCAAGGATAGTATTAACAGATTGCAAATTTCTGTCTTAATGTCTTGGTGTCAGGAAGCTGTTGATATGATGTCCAGCAATATAAATCTGTCAAGGTAAAGTTTGAAGGATCTAGAAAGGATCTGATGTTTCATTGGGCCCATTAGTGAAGAGACTTGGACTCATACAAGCAAGAAACAAGTAGAAGGAACTTTCTGAGATTCAGTCTTACAAATACAGCCCCTGGGACCTGCAAACACTGAGGCCACATGAACTCATTAGGAGCTGCAGAGGTTCAGTTTGCTGCCCCTTCTAGTAACTCTTCCCAGAACAGTTTTTCAGATTGAAGGCAAAACCATTTCTATGACACTCGCATCAAAATCACTGGTAGAAAATCACAGGTTTCCACATATCCACATCTCTAGAAATCCATCCTCTCTCCAGTAACTTCTGAGTTTGTTTTCTGCAGCCAGAGTTTCCAGACAGGTGACCATTGAATGCTGCGAGCCTGTCTACCCAGCTCCATGTGTTCCTAAGACAACCTGTTACTGCCCATGTTTTGAAGTAAAAAATGCCCAGCGTCTTATTTGTCAACAGGAACGGTAC